TCTCTCTCTCTCTCTCTCTCTCTCTCTCTCTCTCTCTCTCTCTCTCTCTCTCTCTCTCTCTCTCTCTCTCGCTCTCTCTCTCCACAACCGACAATGTCGGTGCTTAACTCGTTTACAGAACTCAAACTGTGAGCGTCGCGAAGGCCGAAGCTGAGAAGATTCGACTGATCGGAGAGGCCGAGGCCCATGCTCTAGAGGCTGTCGGTGTGTCGGAGGCCGAACGTATGCGGATGAAAGCTGTGATTTACAAAAAATACGGCGACGCAGCGATACTCAACATCACTCTGAACGCCTTGCCGAAGGTGACATTTCGTTTGTGCATTGTCCTTACGCTACAACATAATTAGTATACTTTGTACCCCGCGTATCCCGACGACGTTGACGTGCTAATTTCGCTTTCAGATCGCAGCCGAGGTCGCGGCACCGTTAGCGAGAACGGAGGAAATTGTGCTTCTCGGCGGAAACGACGCAACCAGTGGAGAACTTACGCGTCTCGTTGGGCAAGTTCCACCAGCTGTACAAGCGCTGACTGGTGTAGATCTTTCCAAGGTAAGCTCTCGAGCCAAAGTTTCCCTCTCCCTCTTTCGTCTCTTAACAAATTCATAGCGAGCGTTCCATTGATAATATTGTAAATAACACCGTTCCATGTGCAGGTATTGGGAAAAATACCAGGAGCAAAATAATGCCGAGCCTTTCAAGTGAATTTAAGGACCAGACAGCGAGCAGACGAATAAACTTGGAACAGATTTAAGGAATTTAAAGGAGAAGGGCAAAACGTATATTGCCAAAGGTTTCTCTGCTACCCCACCCTCTGTCATCTCTACCGACCACCATCGACGACCACCGACTCTCCGCTTTTTTCTCTTTCCCGTGTTTTGCTCTACCTCAAGTCCGTGCCAGCGGGCACGCGTTTTTACCCCTCGTCGCGCAAATAAATCCACTCGAGTTGCTCACGTCATGCTCGCACGTTCCCTTACCTTGACACACGTGTACATCGATATTGTTGCATTTCGTGTGCATTTGGTGTGATGTATCGATGTAATCGTGACTTGGGGGACGGGCGATAACCGCAATCTCTTGAATTAACGAATCAACAAGTTGGTTATACGAAAAAAAAGTATACATTCACATACAAAAAATGCGACAATCCGTCAAAGGTGTCGATATACTTTCTTGTTCCAATTATAAGTATTGGTCACTTTCTAAATTTGTGAAAAGAAGCACTGCCCATGGCCGTGCCTAAGATAGAGATTATTAAGAACGTAATGCAAATACGATCGCTTGCCACTGGAATGCATAAAGTGACACGACATTTACACGATTTCAAAGATAGTATAGTGTCTTTTATTTACCAATAGGTTTATATTTACCAAAAGGCTTTCGATGAGCAATGTTTGCTCGGTCCCACAGATAAGTAAATCTTTACTGCGTAACCTATTCGCTTTCGCACCGAGCAAATTGTATAGAAGAACGATCAGACAAGAAGGGAAATTTAAGTAAGGAAATTACTGTCGTCGAAGGAATTCTAATCCTAATTAGGGTAAACTTGATGACGAATACATCAAATGAGAAAGAAGCCTAATAGAATCACTGCCGAAAAAAGAAATCCATTCTGCTTCTTCCATAACCGGGAAATATTTTGTAAAATATTTTTCGACAAATTATAAGAAATCTCTTGTTTTGATACCTTTTAGGACAAGATATATTGTATATACACGCACATACACACGGAATGTTGTCTCTCTTGTAATTCGTAGTACAATCGAGAAGGGAACGATTTGGGAAGAGAAATGCAAAAGACATTAATTCTCGTGTTTAACGTGTTTTCAATTCTTGACGAAAAATGAATGTCCTATATTCCATTCCTTTTATTTCTTTTTATTTCTTTAGCTAATAAATACACCTTGACCAATATATACATATGGTATTGTACTGTCCCTTTTTTGAGTTGTACAACGATTGTGATACGTGGATTCGTTTTACTGTAGAGGGAGAGAGACAGAGAGAGAAAACAAATTAAACTACTCGGAATAAGTTTCGTAAGAGCATTTACATTTATGCTATCTCAACAATCAATTTATGCATTCCATTTAACTCGCTAGGACGCGATCCACAACCGAACAGCCACCAATTAATAGACAGTACCGAAATTCAAAGTCTAAATATAATCGATATGATTAAGAGCGTTTCGATATCATTGTGTTCAACGTAATTAAGTGATTTAACAAAAGGAAAGATGAAGGAGTAGATGTTTAACGCGCGATTCAGGACGAGCAGTTTGCCGCCACCTGTAGTCGCTGTACATATTTAGAGTCACGTATGTGAATAATACTCGTGAAAAGTTTCGATCCATCGTGGTGAAACAAAGAGAAGAGAAAAGCGAGCGCAATTTTAAGAGAACGCTCGACTGTATTGCATCGACGCGCGACACGTATTGACCACGCATCGGAATCCACAGCATTAAAGCAGTAAAATGAAGAAAAAAAAGGACGGTATTCCGATAAACTCAAGTGCCAATTTATACGGTATCGACTTACTGGCAAAGAAAACTGGATGATCTGACTAAAATTATTTTTTACAGTAACTTGTTTATTACTATGTGTATGCGCGAATTGGGTATCTAATATTATACACGTATTGCCTCGTTCATTTATATTTTATATGTTTTCGGAGAAGTGTTTAAGAAAGTTTTAATTTAATTGTGTTAAATATGCCATTTGTAGATTTTAGTTAATCATTTAATCATGTTTTTCAGTTTGTGACTACTAGAACGAGATAGAGATAAAAAGTATTAACATGTATAGAGTGTACGCTAGTGTAGATTGCTTTTTCGATTCGTCGCTCATCAAGTTAAGTGAATATTTACACGCAGCTGTTATGACATTGTTTGATTTAAGGAATTCCTAGCATTTCACAATTAACTAACGACACATGTACTTGTAACATTTCTCCATCAAATATCTGCCGTTGTTGAAAAGGGAAATGATTGAAAAAGAGAGTCTTCCCAAAATACTTAATGCAGTAGATGACAAAAGAAAGAAGAAGGAAAGCCTCCCCGCCCCGCCTAGAAAGTAATAATAATGGTGACAATGATGACGAAATAGAAATAGTAAAATAAGAAATAGTCAACGATTGAACAAATTCTAGTATCATCCAGTAGAAATTTAATTATAGCCGGGTCTAATAGAAATGAAAGAGATATTAATCTATTTTTCAAAGGTATCAAGCGCAAACCTTTTGATCTTCCGATGAGTAGTCAATGCGAGAAAGTACATACAAACACAAATGCATATAGAGATTTAGAATAGTTGCGAATTTTCGACAAATCCGATGTAATCGGCTTACATTATAATCGAAGATAATTACTATTGATCATCGTGCCATAATCAGATTCTTGCGAGGCGTCCAGCATGTTTTTCCAGATAACACGATGACATATAGCACTCACAATCAGCCGTAGATATATATATATATATATATATATATATATATATATATATATATATTCTGTCGATGGGACGCAACATCTTCCCGAGACGAAATATTCTCATTAGTTAATTAAGACGTTTCTGGATGTCTTTGATCTAACGTTAATTGATTAATACTAACACGCACTAACTTTGTTTTTACATATATAGGGTAGGCCATTTTAATCTAAGCATTGAAATCTCTCAAAATCCATAAGTTTAAGACAAAAATGTTTCAGATAAAAGTTGTTCAAGATAATGGGGGTCACCTATCTGCGTAACTAGCTTTGACCTTGAGACTACTTTTCAAGGTTATTTGAAGGTCACAGTGGTTTTTTTAAACGGGAACCCCTATTTTTTATTACATATTCTTATAGCTTACCTCGATAGCTTTCCAAAACGCTATAATAAAGTATCTTTTTATTAAGAACTTTTTGAGTTATTAAGGTTTGAAAGTTCCAATATTTTGACATAAATTACAAAATATCTTGTAAAATATTCATTTTTTTATCATCTTACCTTAATACTTTACTGAACAGAATAATAAGACAAATCAACCGGTGTAAAGAAAACACACAATTTTGTAACAAGTAATAAAAAAAATGTTTTTTAACAATTGTGTGTTTTCTTTACACCGGTTGATTTGTCTCATTATTCTGTTCAAAAAAGTATT